CGGCCCTGCAGGCGGGGGGTCCCGGGCACCCCTCAGCCCCCCCGTCCTCCACTGCCTCCTAGGTGCACATCATCGGGCACATCCCCCCGGCCCACTGCCTGCGCAGCTGGAGCTGGAACTACTACCGCATCGTCAGCAGGTCAGCCCCGCGGACCCCTGCCCGGCCACGGCAGCAGCAGCGGCATGGGAGGGGACGGGGGGGGACAGTGCCGTGCCGGCGTGTCCGCGGTCAGGAGCCCAAAGCTGCCTGTGCCAGGCAGGGCCGTGCCGGAGCCAGCGCCGACAGGCACGGCCTGGACACGCGGCATCAGCTGCGCCCAGCGTAACGGGGGAGTCCGGGTCACGGGACCGGCTGCGCCGTGCCGGCTGCCAGGCAGTGCGGTGGGGCCGGGGTGGAGGTCTGGGCGCCGGCAGCCCTCACCCCCCCGGCCCGGCACAGGTTTGAGGGCACCATCGCAGCTCAGTTCTTCGGGCACACGCACGTGGACGAGTTTGAGATGTTCTACGACGAGGAGACGCTGACGCGCCCCGTCTCTGTCGCCTTCGTGGCCCCCAGCGTCACCACCTACATCAACCTCAACCCTGGTGCGCCCTGAGCCCCCGCCCCAGCGCAGCCCACCCCTCCGGCCGCGGTGCCGCTGCCCGCCCTGACCCAGCCTGCCCTGCCCGCAGGCTACCGCGTGTACGAGGTGGATGGTGCCTACCCCGGCAGCTCCCACGCCGTGCTGGACCACGAGACCTTCATCCTCAACCTCACCGAGGCCAACGCGCCGGGGGCAGAGCCACGCTGGCAGCGCCTCTACCGCGCCCGCGACGCCTACGGGCTGCCCAGCGCCTTCCCCACCGACTGGGACCAGCTCATCCGCCGCTTCCAGGACGACGAGCGCCTCTTCCAGCGCTTCTGGTTCCTCTTCCACAAGGGCCACCCGCCCCGCGAGCCCTGCCTGGCCGCCTGCAAGGCGGCACTGCTCTGCGCCCTGCGCACCGGCCGCTCCGCCGACCCCAGCCTCTGCCAGCCCCTGCGCCCGGCGCTGCCCTTCCCACGCATCCAGGAGCTCTGGCGGCAGCGGCGGCTCTGCTGAGGCAGGATCGGGTCCCGGGACACAGGTGGTGCCCGGGCCTGGTGTGGACAGGCGAGGGCTGAGGCAGGTCCCTGCCTGTCCTGGTGCTCCCGGTGCTTCCACCAGCTGCCGCCCCTGCCCGCGGCACAATAAAGGTGTGATGGACCCAGCGGCTCCTGCCCGAGGCCCTGCGGGATGTGCCGGGAGGGCACGCAGCCCTGCTGCTCCTCCTCATCCTCCTCCGGGCGGGTGCCGCAGCGAGAGGGGCCAGGCCAGGCTGGTGGAATGGGTTTATTAATTATTTAGTACGACACAGATCTTTGTTACGGCAGGCGTGGCAGCTCCAGAGCTGGCAGCCCCGGGGAGCCCCACACCGCAGGTTAGACCGCATGCATCAGGGCAGGGTGGGCCCCGC